AAAATCTGCTAAAAGTGTACACTTAACACGTTAATCATCTGCCAAAAAACCCTTTAATCTTAATACCTCACTGCCCTAAGCTCAATGGGGAAGCAAGGATTCTGCCTCCAGGCATCATTATGCATCCTCACCATACTCAGCGCCTTCTCCTTCGTCGAAGATTGCCCATCCACATGGATCAACCCGAACAACTTCTTCACCGCCCCACACGCCATCATTCCCTCCACCACCTCCTTCCTCGGCAAAAAACTACAAACCAACCACAACACCTTAACCCCCAGCTTCGTCCCCAAATCATGGTCCCTCCCTATCTTGCTCGCTACCGCTGCAATTCCCATCCTATGGTCCGCAAACGCCAATCTCCCCTCAGCGCACTCACACAACCTCTTCAGCAACAGCAACGTCTTGTCCCTCCTTTGCCTCCCAGCTTCATCTGGCAAAAGCTCAATCAACACGCAGACCGCTCCCGCTTCGATAGCTTTCAAACGATTAGCTTTGGAAGTCGCCACGGCTTGAAGAAGAAGGTCGAGCGATGATGTGCTGAGTTTTGCGGAGACCTCATCGGATAGAAGATCGAGCAGGGATTTGAAGACGTCGATGTCTTGATGGAATTGGCTGGTTATAGACGGATTGGCTTTCGATATTCTTTTTAGGATGGTGATGGCGTCGAGACGGGCTTCAGCGCTGCCGCGCTGGAGGATAGTTAACATCGGATTGACGCTATCGGGCTTCGACAGAAGCCCGATGGAAGCGTCGTGGTTGTCAAAAGGAAGGTTTTTGAGAACGCCGAGAGCCTCCTCGCATGCGCGGAAGGGGGCGAACTCGTCCGAGAAATCGGTGTTGGATTGTTTAAGTATGCGGCAGAGGGCTTCGACGCCGTTGGAGGAGAGGAAGACGAGCGGGTTATCTGCGGCGAATGAGCGGAGCTTCTTGAGGGAGTTGACTTTGAAGGGGGAGGAGTCCATGGTGGCGAGAATGGAGGTCAACTCGAGGTGTTTTGAAGAGAAGGAAGAAGAAAGAGATGGTTTGGGTTTTGACAGAAGGGATTGGGTCCGCCATGAGAGGATGAGGTTTTTGAGAGTATGGTTGGGAATGAGGTCGAAGTTGTGGAGGGGTTGCATGGTGGCAGGGCAGGTTGTTTTTTTGTAGGTGAACAGCCATTTCTCGATGCTTTGGAGATCGTAGGTGATGCCGGTGGCAATGGTGACAGGGTTTTCCATTATTTCGAAGGAGATGGGGCATCGGAATATGGAGGGGAGCTCTGATTCGGTAGGCGAAGTCATGGTCGCTTGTTGGATGGTTACCTCCTGATGAGTGCAGAGGAAGAGGGATGGCAGATGAAGCGAGAGGGGGGTTTATATTGGGGAAATGGAAGCGTATGGTGGGAGCAATTTGCAATTTGTCCCGTGAAGCGTATAAAATATCCAGG